TTACCCAGCTACAGTGAACCTTCATAAGGTCCTTAGAGCAGTGGTCCCCAACGTCCCCTAGTAAGCAGTATCAGTGTGACCTGACACATTACTGGGGAGAGATGTCAATTCTCAACCCTCATGGCAGACCTACTGAAACAGAAACCCTGGGGGTGAGGCATAGCAATCAGTGTTTTGACAAGTCCTCCAGGTGTTCTGGGTGCTCACCCAAGGTTGAGAGCTTCTGCTACAGTGTTTGTAACAGCTGCCACAAACGTTATTCCCATATATGACTTTGCCTGAGTCCAGCCCCAAGGTCAGAACTGCGTTTTCAGAAGGCTGCTCTGTGGGAAGTCTGCATCACATCCCTCAGCATGGGGTTGATTATATGTCATCCAACTGTTTCCTATTTCTTTATGCACTCAGGGCCTCATTTTCTTGACTTGTCACAAGCTAAGAGTAATGGTCCCCATCTGAATGTCAAATATCATAAAAAATTCTTTCAATCAGGAAGTGGCTTTTATTGCAGATAATATTGAAAAAATCATTCAACAAATATCTATTATGTACCAACAATGTGATGGAGTCCAAAATGACAGGTAAGTTGACAGACAAATCAACACATAGACAATGTAAATTTCAATAGTATTAAAGAATTAAAGTAAGAGGCTAGTAGAGGTCATGTGGTTGATTTTTAACTCCATTCTACCCTAAATGCTTTGTCTTGATTCAGTAATGGAAATAACTGTAACCCCGTTCCCAGGCCAAAGTCTGAGGAATTGCTATGTGAACAATTCAAACCCATGTGGTACACGGGAAATCAGCTACCTGCTCTAGGAAGGGCTTATCTGCTAGTTAGATGGCAGTCCAGGAAGACACACTCCCTTTCTGTCTCTGGGCCCTGGCACTGGATGTAAAACCAGGCACTGCTGAAGCCATCTTGTTACTTATCTCAGGACAAAATCCTCGGAGAGGAAGATGGAACCTCAGAGAACCAGAGTCACAATCCTGGTATCGTCCAGAACTCTGGACATTTTGTTAGTTAAGACCATGCATTTCCTTCTAGTGTAAGCCAAGTGGAGTTGGCAACTTCCAGGATTTGTATCTGACTGCGTCCTGATGGATAAAGGGATAAAGAACTATGGCAGGAGAAGGGGGGCTATCCATACGGAAAGATGCTTAAGGATCTCATTGGCTTGACTTGTGTCCCACACCCACTCGACTGGCCTAGGAATGAGATTACAGTCATTTCAATTAGTGCCTCAAAACCAAGCATTTAGGGTAGAAAGGGGTTAAAATCAGATCAAGAAAAAGGCCAGCCGGGAGCCGGGAGAGGGAAAAAGTGTGAAAGGCTGAGACCTAAGGTGACGTTTCTCATATGCCAGCTTCAGTAATATCTAAAGTGACAATCATTTGGAAAGAAAAATAAACCAAACAAACAGTCCCTAGCACATGTCCTTTTTTTTTTTTTTTTTTTTGTTCCGGCTTTTATTATGCTC